GGCGCTGCGCTTCGACCCGCCACAGAGGCCAGCTGCTCCGCGAGAGCTGCCGCTGGCTGCTGGAGGTCGACCAGGTCGACGGCCGTGGGGCGCCCTTCTGCGCCGCAAGCTGCCGGCCATGCCGCGCGCGCTCTTTCGGATGATGGGCAGGCACGCGGGCCAGATCATCCGCTGGCGGCCGCCAGCCAAGAGGGAGAAGATCGTGGCGGACATGGCCCCCGCGATGGAGTGCAAGATCGACCAGCCGGCGCCCCCCTTCGTCTACTCATCCGACGCCGAGGGAGTCACCGGCGACGACTACAGGGGCTACGGCGTCGTGGGGGCGAAGGCCCGCATCACCGAGATGGAGGCGCTGGTGGCGGCGGGCACGCGGCCTGGCCACACCGACGCGCGCCTCGATAATCTCAACGGGGCCGACCGCGAGATCGCCAACAGGATCGCGGTGTCCAGGGTCCCGCGGAGCCTGCTGGAGGAGCAGCCGCAGGACTGGACCGAGCTGGGATCGGGGCGACGGAGCCGCCCCGACCACGCCACGCTGGGCGAAGGCCGAGCTGCCATCGAGCTGCTGGCCGCTCTCGGCTGCGCCCCAGGGGCGCGCGGCTACCTGTTCGCGAACCTGGGGGGCAACCAGGGCCTCTCCGCGGCCATGGTCAAGGGCCGCTCGGCGGCGGTGGGTCTGAGAACTTCCTGCTCCGACGCCGAGCAGCGGCTTTGTGTTTAGCATCATGCATAATGTTCGTGCTGCCCTGGGTGGACACCACGCACCAGGCAGCACATTGGCTCTCCCGTCGCAGGCGAGGCGGCGTGGGCCGCGGCGCCCAGACCACCACCAGGCTCAGCGGGTCAAACCGCAGACCATCGAGGAAGATATCGACGCGATGCCCGCGACACATCGTGGGCCCTCGCCAACCACTTCAACCCCGTCGGACCAGTGGGGCGACGTGCTGATGGAGTACAAGAGCGCTTGCGGGTCCTTTTATCACCGTCAAAGGGTTGTAATCTCTTGGTGTCCGACGAACTGCTTTTTTCCTCGGATGAAGGGCGAGCTGAAGTGGGCACATGCTGTATTCAGAGGCGGGGAGCGCTGCCACGTCATCAAGCACTCCGTGCCGCTCGGTGAGGCGCCGGCCAAACTCTTGAGCATCGACCTGGCATCCGCGGTCCATGTCAGGCTAGCGCTAGGCCTGGCCCTCAAGTGCAGCACAGGATTGCTTCCGTCCGAGATGCTCGGTCTGCGCCCACAACACAGCTCGTTCCCTCAGCATCGTGCTGTGGAGGGGGAAGCTGTTATCCTGACCCTGGGTGTCCGCTTCGGCACAAAAGTTCAACGGACCCAGGTGGCCATGCTTCCTGGCCGGCACTCTGATATCATCGACGCTCTTTGCCACTGCGTGCAGCTGACTCCGTATGACCAGCCCGTGTTTCCCTCCAGTATATCGCAATACCTACTCTGCTCAAGTCAGCCAAAGCGGCGTTGGGGCAGAAGGTGGCTGGGGCCTACATAGCCCTCGCAAAGGCTGGTCGACCGATACCCGCGCGGACGGCGTCCCTTCGTCGAAATCAGGGAGGGCGGCCGCTGGATGTCCGAGTCGAGCTTGCGGATCTACCTCGACGTGCAGTCGGTGAAAGCTGCGCTGACGGAGCTACTCACCGCCGAGCACGAGAAGCCGCTGCGCTGGGCCGCCACGGGCTGGAGGAAGTACGTGAGGCAGGAGTTGCTGGGGCCCCCCCTGCTACTGAAGATGGCACCGCAGGTGGGCAGCACCTTCAGCAACGGCGTCTGCACGCCGCCTGCGTCCAGCAAGGCTCTGTCGCCAGCTACGCCACGACCATCGCGAGCGTCCCCGCCTGCTCCGATCGGGGCTAAGTCGCCTGCGCTCAGCCTGGGCTCACAGCCCAAGGCCGTCTCGCCGGCGCCTACCTTGCCCGCGGGGGTGACGCCGCCGGGCTCCTGGTCGATGGTGGGCACCCCGTTCGGGAGCGGTGTCGGCGTGGCCAGCTCCCCGTTCGCAGGGCCAGCCGAGCTGCCGCCGCCGCCGCTGGCTGCTGGTGTGGCGCCGGGGCGGCCGCGGCCCGCAGCTTGGCGCAGGTGGCTGACGGGCGCCAGCCACGTGGGCCGCGCCTGGTGTCTGTCGCATGGAGCCATGCTGATGCTGGCGCTCTGGATAAGCCCGCCGTCTTTCTCGACGACCCTGGCCAGGGGCGCCGGCGCTGTCATCAGCCTCGCGGAGGAAGGCGGGGTCATCTCGAGAGCGGCCTCTCACGTCACCATCCTTGTGGCCGACGTGGCCGTAGCTGTGGGCAGAGGCTCGCTCTCGGCGCTGGAGGAGACATGGACTGGCGTCGACCTTCTCAACGCCTCGGTGAACGCTGCCGGGGCTGCTTCGTGGTGCTGCGCGGCTACCGCCGCCCTGACGCTGACGACCCGCTGCTCGAGGCGCTCAGCAAGTTGCCTGAGGAGCACGAGGCCACCGTCCAGCTGGGCATCAGCCGCGTGGATGCGAGCATGCCGTCGGTCTCGCGTTCAGAGCAGCGCTTCACAGAAGCGGACAGGTACGACGCATTCGACTACGAAGTACGCCTGCTCTCGCCCGACGTCGTGGATACTAGATTCTCGTGGGTTCCGATGACGTTCCGAGCAGCGTGGGCCAATCCAATCTGCAAAAGGATTGAATCAAGTGTAGCGTCGCAGCTCGACAAACTCACGGAAAAAATACACAACAACATTATGAATGCCATCGACATGCAGTGGGACCGTGAGCCCCTCCACTCGGACGAATTACCGTCTGGCTTCAACCCGCCCATCTGGTACCGCTGGCTCCGTTACCGACGTGATTTCGCACAGTGCGCTCAGATCGTAGGGGAAGTGGGAATGGGCTTCAGGTTCATGATATGTCCAGTCCTTCACAGCCCAGGCTTCGAAAGAATCAGAACCAAAGTTGACTTCAATGCTTGGGCTCGGGCCCGATGCTCGCAGGGCACGAGTTGAAAGCCAAATTATTTGGTCTTAATTGCATGAGATGCTCATCCTGCTGCGGAAGAGGTGCGCCGCTTCCTCATCTCGACTACTCTGCCAGGCGTCGCCTAAGGCAAAACCTGACTGGGGTGGGTGGGCGGGCCAAGTGTCCGGATCGTAGCACGATGGTTACACATTATTGGAGAATGAAAACATTGAATGTGCCTGAGCGTGAAGTGCAGATCTCAGTTCCCCTCTCCATAGTTTTTGAATGGCCCCCATCCCCCGAGTGCGCAGTGATTTATGTCTTGGATTTCACGCTCTGCCATCGTCCCTCCCTGGACCCGTTGAAGGCTGCGAGGGGATCAGAGCCAAAGTTGGTTTCAATGCTTGGGCTCGGGCCCGACGCTCGCAGGGCCAGAGTTGCAACACAAATCATTTGGTCTTGATTGCATGGGATGCTCGTCCTGCTGCGAAAGAAGTGACCCGCTGCCTCAGCTCGTTGATTCTGCCAGGCTTCGCCTAAGGCAAAACCTGACTGGGGTGGGTGGGCGGGCCAAGTGTCCGGATCGTAGCACGATGGTTACATATGATTCAGATACGATTATGATGATGATGATGGTGCTGATGATGATGGTGATGATGATGGTGATGGTGATGCCGATGCTGCCAATGATGATACTGATGACGATGATGAAAATGATGACAATACTGGTACTGGTGATGATGGTGACGATAATGCTGATGATGATGATGATGGTGGAGATGATGATGGTGGTGATGATGGTGGTGATGATGATGGTGATGATGGTGATGATGATGATGCTGGTGATGATGATGTTGATGTTTATGATGCTGCGGATGATGATGCTGCTGATGATGGTGGTGATGATGATGATGCTGATGATGATGATGCTAATGATGATGATGATGATGCTGATGATGATGATGATGCTAATGATGATGATGATGATGATGATGATGATGATGATGATGATGATGATTATGATGATGATGATGATGATGATGTTGATGTTGATGTTGATGATGATGATGATGATGATGATGATGATGATGATGATGATGATGATGATGATGATGATGATGATGATGATGATGATGATGATGATGAGTATGATGACAGAGCATGATAAAGCGGATTACGAGGATGTCTCGGGCGAGGCGCAGGTTCCAGCACCCCCAAGGGGGGGCTGCCAGGGGGTATTGCACTCCCACGTTCGCGCCCAGATTGTAGGGATCTCTCGAGCGGTTTGCCCCACGTGATCCGCGCCAAGGGCGTCACTGCGCTGGCCCTCCCAAGAGCCCGCGGAGGTGGCCACAGCAACTGCGCAGTTCGCAAGCCCGGCAGGGGCGGCGAGGCCCCCCTCGATGCACCAAGAACGTCAGCTCCAAGACGGCCCAAGAGGCCCCCAAGAGCGCCCCAAGACGGGCCAAGAGGCTTCCAAGAGGGCCCCGAGAGGGCCCAAGAGGGCCCCGAGACGGCCCAAGAGGCGCCCAAGACGGCCCGAGACGGCGCCCAAGAGGCCCCCAAGAGGTCCCAAGATGCCGCCAAGAGGCCCCCAAGAGGCCCCAGGAGGCCCCCAGGAGGCCCAAAAGAGGCCCCAGAAGTAAAAAAATGCATCCCAGGCGCCGCCGAATGGCTTCTCAAAAGACCCCGAGAGGCCTCCCAAAGAAGCATCTTGACGACGACCCTGTTTGGCACCAAGAGCAGCACAAGATGCCAACGAGAGGCTTCCTCCTCCGCCCCTTCCCCTTCCTCCTCCTCCTTCTCCTCCTGCTTATTTTCATCCTCTCCGCCTCCTCCCCTCCCCTTCCCCATCCTCATCTTCCTCCTCCTCCTCGGCGGCGCCACAATGGCCCCGGGCCCACGGCGAAGCAGTAGCGATCATGCAACATGGGCCGGCGGAATGAGCGAAGCGATTGGAAAACATCTGCCGAAGAAGGGGAAAGGGGGAGGGTGGCCCGCGGGAGGGATCGCGGAGGAGAAGGAGGTCGAATGGAGTGCGCAAGCGAGCTCGCGATCTCATGCGGTAAATGGCCGCGCGACTGAAACATGCAGGCGGCAAAGTTCCAGCAGCTGTATGGTCGACAGCGCCACGGGCAAGCCCCAGCGGCACCCTACACTGCAAAGACGGCGGGAGAGAGCAGGGCCTTGGCAACGATGCGTCGATCCCACGGTGCCGCTACGTACTCTGGAATTCATCGCACGCATGGCCTCGCGGCTGCTGTGTGGATAAGAACTCCAGCGCAGCTCCACGCAAACATAACGTGTAGATTGCTCCTCCTTCTTACTCTTCCTCGTATTATTACTACTGTTAGTATTACTATCATTATTGTTATTATTACTCTTATTATTATTCACATCGGCCTCCTGCTCCTCCTCCTCCTCATATTCCTCCTTCTCCTCCTCTTCCTCCTCTGGTTCATGCTACTCCTCGTCCCCATTCTTCCCATCCTCCTCCTCCTCCTCCTCCTCCTCCTCCTCCTCCTCCTCCTCCTCCTCCTCCTCCTGTCCTTGTGGCATCATCCCTTCCCTCGCCATTATCTTCCAACATTATTCAGCCGACTGGATTGCTCGCAGATGGGCAAAACCCAACGCTCAAAGCATGCGCCTAGCGTCCCTGCAGGCATTCCAACCCAGCGTCAGAATAGAAGCCATGTGCAATCAAACTGGTAGGTCAGGCCACCCGACGGGGAGCCCAGTGCGACGGAGGCAACAATATGACCGTATGTGCAAACCCTGCACGCTCGCCACATGAGACACCTATCGGGAGCCATGGTCCGAAGGATCGGCTGGGACTGGAGCCTGCCCAGATACATCCGAATTCCCATGACGCAGCAACTCCTGCAGCCCCAGCGGGGGAGGCGGCACCTGCGCCCGCTCCCCGCGGGCCTGCGCGGCCTTGCTGTTGACGCCGTCCTGCAAGATCTGATCGGCGATCTCGGTCCAGCCGCGCTTTTGGCACTCCTTGCTCAAGTACACGTAGGTCTTGTCGCACGGGGGCACGTTGGCCTGAACCATGTCCCTGTACAGCGTGATGGCCTTCCCGACCATGCGCATCCTGACACAGCTCTGGATAGCATCGTGATAGGCGAACTGATTGGGGTCGATGCCCGACTCACGCATCGAGTCGAAAAGGTCCACAGCCTCCTTCATCTTGCCAGTTGAAGTGCAAACCTTGATCAGGGCGCCGTACGTCTTGCCGTTAGGAACCAGCGCGTGATCTGGCATCCTCTCGAACAGCTCCAGGGCCTGGTCGGCCATTCCGAGATGCGAGCAGGCACACAGCGCCGCATTATAAGCAACACGGTCAAGCTTAACTCCTCTCTCCACCATCTCGTCGTAGAGCTGCAGTGTGCGCTCTGGGTCGGTCCGCTCGTGAGCAGCCATGATGCAGCGGTACGCCGTCGAGCTGAGGCTGACGCCCTGCTCCCTCAGCTTCACGAAGAACTCCAGGACATGGTCTGGAAGCTTGCTCTTCCATGCACAGATGAGGCAATTCTGGATGGCGTTTGTCGGCGAGACCGCGAAGGCTTGAATCATATCCAAAAGCTGGATCCCCGTCTCCCTCATGCGCTTCTCGTCCAAGTTCTCCGCCACGAGCCTAAAGAACTTTGTCACAGTGTGGCTGCTGATCGACAGGCGATCGTTGTCGTAGGGGACGCCTTTCTCAAGCATCTGGTTGTACAACTCCAAGGCCACCTCCACGCTGTTCAGCCTGTTGCACGCATCCATGACCTTCGAGTATGACAATGCTTCGAAGGAAATACCTTCTTCGATGGCTTGTTTGAGGACACGCGCATCGATCTCACGCTGCTCATCTGATGTCGTCATGTGTGAGAACTTCCTGCTGACCTCATGCGTCTCTTCTGTGGGGCTCCCTGCGTCCCCGAGGATGCGAAGGGCACCAATGGCACCTCGAGGAATCTGCGCTGCCAGGCTCCCCACCTGCCGGACTGGCTGCCTGGTTTGAGTATCGCCGACTGGGACCACGCTCTTGGGCTGAGACAACCTCTTCGATCCAGCCACCTTCACTTTTGGTGCTCCACGTGGTCGCGAAGTCGCGCTGGAGGAGCCTACGTGGTACGCAGCGACCAACAGCAGCAGGGTCAAGAGCTCTGTCTGGCACGCCCTCACGATCTCACCAACAGCTGTGGCAAGCATCTCGCTGGGACCGAACATAATCGCAAGCAGGAGGATACCCGCAAGAGGGCCGTGCTGGGAATCCAGGGTGCAGGAGACCTTCTCGACAAGTGCCTGCGCCATTGCGAAGTGTCTGGATTGCTGAGAGTGGGAAAGGAAGACTGAAGACACGCAAGCGCGCCCAGAGATATGAGCTGCTGCTTTGCTGGTTTTCGTGTGTCTCGGTTGGGTGATCCGAAGTGGCTGCGGAGCGAGGACGGGCAGAACAACAACACTGAAAGAAAAACACCCCCATCTTCAAATACGGCGATGAAAACAGTGGCGGCCTGACACAGATCGCATCCAGACCACCTGGAAATGCAATGTCCTGGTGTGTTCAATACGGTGTCCCGAAGCCCCCACCCTGCCACTGGGATCAATTCTTCATACCGGGTCCTTCTTGTCGTTTTGTCGAAGACCCCGGGGCCCGGTAGGGGCCCTGGAGGCCGAACACGGCGAACAAAACTCCCGGCATGACTTTTCACAGGTGCAGGCATGTCTGGCCATTCAGCGCACTCACGTCAGGAAAGGCGAAGTCCAGACGGCGTAAACCCAGACGGAGACCGAGCACTCCGTATGGACTTACTCCATCTGGACTCAGCCTCCTACCAGGAGAGGCGAGTCCAGATTGCGTAAGCCCAGACGGAGACCGAGCACGCCGCATGGACTTAGACCGTCTGGACGTAGCCTCCGACCAGGAAAGGCTAAACCCAGACGGCGTCACCCCAGATTGAAACCAAGGGCTCCGAATGGACTTACTCCGTCTGGACTTAGCCTCCGATCAGGAGAGGCTAAGCCCAGACGGTGTAGACCCAGACTGGAACAGAGCACTCCGTGTGGACGTAGACGGTCTGGACCGAACCTCTCATCAGGAGAAGCTAAATCCAGACGGCGTAAGCCCAGACGGAGACCGAACCCTCCGTATGGATTCAATCCATCTGGACTTAACCTCCGACCACGAGACGCTAAACCCTGACAGTGTAAGTCCAGACGGAGACCGAGCATCCCGTATAGACAAACTCCGTCTGGACTTAGCCACCGACCACGAGAGGCTAAACGCAGACAATGTATGCCCAGACGGAGTCCGAACATCCGACAAAGATTACCGCTACTCCTGTCCTGACTTGTCCACGACGCAGGCATGTCTGGGCATGCAGCGGACTCACGTCAGGAAGGTCTAAGCCCAGACAGAGTAAGCAAATATTGAAACACAGCATTCCGCTCCGTGTGGGCTTACACCGTCTGGACCTGGCATCCAATCAGGCAGGGCCAAGTCCAGATGGAGCAAACCCAAACGGAGACCCAGCGCTCCGTATGGACAAACTCCGTCTGGACTTAGCCTCCAATCAGGAGGGGCCAAGTCCAGACGGCGTAAGAACAGACGGAGACCGAGCACTCCGTATGGACATACTCCGCCTGAACCTAGCCTCCGACGGCGAGAGGCTGAGTCCAGACTGCGGAAGCCCAGACGGAGACCGAGCACTCCGTGTGGTCTTAGACCGACTGGGTCTAGCCTCTGATCAGGAGAGGCTACATCCAAACGGCGTCAACCCAGACGGAGACCGAGCACTCCGTGTGGACATGCTCAGACGGCGTAAGCCCAGACGGAGACCGAAGACTCCGTATGGACTTTCTCCTCCTTGACTTTGCCCCCTATCAGGCGAGGCTAAGTTCAGACGGCGTAGGCACTGACGGAGACCGAACACGCCATGCGGACTTACTCCGTCTGGACATAGCCTTCCGTGACAACCGATACCGATACTTCCGGACCTCTCACGGGGTGCGTTCTGACCAGAATTTCGACGCGAGCCCAGCGGTGGCGACAAGGGCCGCCCAGGAGGCTGAAAAAGGGAAAAACGAGGGAAGGGTAGCGGTATAGGTACCCGTTCCGCCGCCGAATGTCTGGACTTTGCCTCCTACATAGAAGGCGCGGGCCCTGTATCTATAGACATATAGACAAGGCATGCGCCTTCAGAGAAGCAGGGGTGCTTGTAACCCAGACGCCCGACGTCATGAGTTGTTCGTAACGTCGATCCTGGTGATCTCGACCATTCCCTGGGACTGGTTTTTCATCGCCATCCCGAGTCGTTTTTGACGGCCCCGAGGCCTGGCGAGGCCCCCCAGAGGCCCTCAAATAGCAAAACAACGCCCGTCGTGGGGGTATTGGAAAAAGCCTCCCCCCCTCCCCCTACCCTCCTCTGCACGTGGCCGATTCTGACGAGACGACGACGACGACGACGAAGACGGCGACGACGACGACGACGACGACGACGGACGACGACGACGACGACAGACGACGACAGCGACGACGACGACGACGAGGGGGGGAAGGAGGACGAGGCGGAGGAGGAGGAGGACAGGAAGGAGCAGGAAAAGAAGGAGCAGGAGGAGGAGGAGGGGCGAGTTTGTTCCCCGACGAGAAAGCGGGGGGGGTCCCACAACTAAAGACTTGAGAGGTTACCCCCTCTGCGCGTGGCCGAGTCTGGACTCCGCCTCTCCTCCGACAGCACGGGCCGACGGCGTCCGCCCGCGCGGCGAAGAGTCGGCCGCCGACGTGCCTCCCCTCTGCCGGGGGCGGCCAGGCCCCTGGGGGTGCGGGGGCCCCTCGGGGCACGGCGAGAGGCAGCTCGCCGGCCGTGCTCTCCAGAGGCCTCTCCCCGGCCGCCCCCTCGAGGGGAGGCGCGCCGGCGGCCGACTCTTCGCTGAACCCGGCGGGCGCCGTCGGTTCGGCCGCCTCGTGTTGTCGGAGGAGAGGCGGAGTCCAGACTCGGCCACACGCAGAGGGGGGGACCACTGTGAGCCTGCAGTTTGGGGGTCCCCCCCACCCCATGTTTCTCTCGGCGGGGGACAAGCTCGCCCCTCCTCCTGCTCCTCCGCCTACTCCTCCTCCTCCTCCTCCTCCTCCTCGTCGCGGCGGAAAAGAGGCTAAGTCCAGATTCGGCCACGCGCAGAGGGGTTCAGGGGAAGGGGGGAAGGCTTCTTCCCAGACCCCTTTGGGTCACAAAACAATCACGACGCAGGGCTTTTCCCTATTTGGGGTCTCTGCGGGCCCGAACCTGGCCGCGGAATCGTCAAAAAACGGCTGGGGATGGAAAGCTGGTCCGGGGGAGTGGGTCGAGACACCACGGATCGACGTTATGACAAAACATGACATCGGGGCTCTGGGTCTGGTTCCGAAACGGGGCCCAGAGACACACAAATAGAGGCGCACAGATCCCTGGGTTCCCCATATGTATAATTCCTGGATGCTTGTTTTCCCCTCCACTGCCAGTATTTCCCCACGTGTTCGCGGAAGTCGACGGTTAGTTGTGTCTATGTCGATTTTCCCCTCTTGACTCTCCATCTCCCTCTCGTTCCCTGTCTGTCCGTTCC